ATAAAAACATAGCCACTGTGAAACTTGTGCGAAATGAAGCATTTTTGAGCAGTTTTCTCTTCTTTGTGATTTTCTTCTCAGGTGCAAACCTTTCTCAAAGCCTTGAGAGATCTGATAACTATTTTCTGCTTTGATAAATATAAAGAAAACTGCTATAAAYTTTCCAAGAGTACAAGGAACCTAAACTTGATATTATAATTAGGTTAGTCACTTCTGTTTTTACAGTGAAAGATGAGTAACTTACATTTTAATCATCCTATTTCTTCATGAGACTTCATCAGCCCTATAAAAACCCATATTCTGGAGCTGAGAAAGTTGTAGAAAGGAGATGAAATTTAAATCTTATTTATACACTTTAGGTAGAGTATTAGAGCATATTCCTCTGGCATACATTATTTTGGGTAGGAGGGTAACCTATTTTGGTAGGATGGTTGCAGCCCATCCTACTGCTCGTTTAAATGCAAGACAGAAAAGAAGTCTTATTGTCATACCTATTTGTATGCTTACTTGATATTTATTTTAAGAATATTGGCCATTGCTGGCAGTCAGAATTATGAAGTCTGTGGGGTTCTGTATAATATCCATAGACATGATAGGAATGTGTTTTGTGGAAGGTACAAGTCCCATATGTTTCCACTTAGATAGCTTTCAGTAAGCTCTTAAATCTTGTTAAAGAACTTGCTAAGTTAGGTTTTGAATGATCRATTGGGAAACATCATTTAAAACATTGTTCTATTAAATTTTGATTGTGCATAGGGACTGAATCTGGCGATTAGAAAGAAATTGGTAAAAGAGATTGAATTCAAAATAAAGTATAGAGTGCACTACAGTCACTGTCATCCTATGTTAGACAGTGTGAGCTAGTGTCCTATTTGTCAGGTGATACCAGGAACTTCCTTCACCAACAAATCCAGTCTTTTCTCAAATATTTTATCAAGCTATGGCTAACTTTCTGTAGAAATTGCACTTACAAAAATGCATTTGACGTTTACCATGATAGGGCTAGCAGTGAAATCCATGTGAGCTATGATACAAAACTCTTTCATACTCAAGAAATCTAGTTCCTTTTTAATATTCTCTGAGCCAATTCTGCAAGCTGTTCACTGTCCGAAAACTTGGAACTCAAGTATCTTTAACTAAGGATTTGAATCTGTCACTATTGATCTGTCCCCTTGTAACAATACACTCTTAYGTCTACTTTTTGAATGGTATTTCAAATGGACCGTGTCTGTTTTGTTGTTAGGAGATGCTTTCAACTCCATCACAAATAACCTGTCCAAAGAAGGCAAAGAAACGTTCACTCTATGCCTTTAATAGTCATTGTTCAGAACACTCATATTTCAGCAAACATGGCAAAGAACTTGCTTTTCCCTACTCCAGTAATTGTGCAGCTCTTGTTGGGTCTTTAGAAACACTTCTTAGTTGCAATGATTCTTTATACAGAAGCTGATAATAGTTGGCAATTTGGGGGCTTTGATGCTAGAATGGTAGCAAAGTTAAGGCTAGACAGTATCTACTCTTTGAGGAGTTTCTCCAAAGCAGCACCAAGAGCATCTCTACTGGGATTTGTCTCTCGTTACTGGTGTATGGAGAGATGAACTTTATAATGCAGGCATTTAAAGTGGTTGTCATAGGCCATGTGAAAACATTGATCTTTTTAGGATTACTTTTGTTTTTACACCAGGGGAATCTTTAATCTGTTAGAAGGCATGGCCTTTTTTTAACCTTCCTAAACCTTCTTTTCCAATCATTGCCATGAAAGTTACCATGGAGTACTGTGCGCAGTTCTGGGCTCCCCAGTATAAGAGGGACGTGGAGCTTCTCGAGAGGGTCCAGAGAAGGGCAACCCAGATGATTAAGGGAATGGAACATCTCTCGTACGAAGAGAGGCTGAGTGAGCTGGGCCTGTTTTCTCTGGAGAAGAGAAGGCTGAGAGGGGATATGATTAATATGTATAAGTTCAGGAAGGGAGAATGCAGGGAGGAAGGGGACAGGCTGTTTTCACTGGTGGCCAGCGATAGGACGAGGGGTAATGGCCATAAGCTGGAGCACAGGAAATTTCATCTCCAGGTGAGGAGGAACTTCTTCACTGTTAGGGTGACAGAGCCCTGGAACAGGCTRCCCAGGGAGGCTGTGGAGTCTCCTTCTCTGGAGGTCTTCAAAACCCGCCTGGATGCCGCCCTGTGCCACATGCTCTAGGTGTGCCTACTTGAGCAGGAAAGTTGGACTAGATGATCTCTAGAGGTCTCTTCCAAMCTTGAATATTCTGTGATTCTGTGAAAGTTGTTCCTCCTGCAAGTAGTCCCACTGAGCTCTCTGAGCAAAGATCATTTCTAGGAGTGACATTTAGAGAATCTAGCTCTTCTCTGAACACTTTCCCCTGCTCTATCTCACTTCATTTCAAATTTGAATCAAATTAAAATCTAGTGTGAAGTCATGCTAGCTGTTACTGCCATTGCTGAGTGTCCTAAGAGACCTGCATTTTTTGTGTTGGAGGTTTTAGTGGATAAGACCTTTTTCATTTTTGTGACTGCCGTTCTAGCTTAACCAGCTGCCCTAAATGACATGGTCATTTTAGTCCATGTCCTGTCTCTGGTGAACAACAGGCTATGTTAGGAAAGCAGCAAACACACACAAAGCTGTCAGCTTCTGCTCCGGAGGCACACAGAGCCTGGCAAACAGGGTGGCCTCACAGCCTGAAGACTAATTTTTCTAGGCGAAGATTGAGGTCATTCATGAGGCAATAGGGACAAGCAGATCTTGTGAAACTGGCCTGTGCGTTGCCTTCTGAGGGTRGTCTCTGGTGCTGTTCCTATGGCCTCATTGCTTGCTTTGATGATAACCTGGGATCGCTGGAAAAGTATTTTTTTTCTCATTTAAGACCACCTGAGATATGTGTAACAGAATCTGTGGAGCAGAATGTCAGCAAAGATTTACATTTGAGGAGTTGCAATACTGGGAAGCAATCGGAAGCAATACTGGGATATTACTCTAAAGGCGCTAGCCATATGGTAAATATACTAATTGGTGTTCCTTAGTGCGTGTTGACAATTTCACCCATTCCTTAAGATGTTTTCCCAAGAGCTACTGTAACGTTGAAGCTGAGAGGGCTTGAGTGGCTGTCATGGAAAGTGGCTTAAAACAGAAAATGTTCAGCACTCCTCAGTAGATCAGTGCCATATTTCAGCTAGGTCGTGCCAGGTTAATAAGCAAAGTATAAGGTTTCTCTTTTCTTGTTGGGTAAAAAAAAATAGTTTAATTTGTTTTAATTCAAACCTTTAGCTGTTTTGGTTCRAAAATATGTGAGAACAATTTTTTTTTGGAGTACAGTAACATGGTTTAGCTAATTTCATTCATGTGTCAAATTAACTGGAAGTGCAAATTAAAATTAATCTAATTATTTTGRTTTCACCTGCTATGTAAATAAGCCTCAAACCTCTAGTGGTTATTGAATAGAGAAAGTGCTTTAACAGGAGAAAGGAGTTTGGGACTATCTGTCTAAATCTGCAGAAAGCCTGAAAAAAAACACCCAACAAGTGTCAAGTTTCCCACTGATTTCACTGTGATAGCTTAGCTGCCAGCAATGGTCATTCACCTTGTACTCCGTTAGTAGTCACCCTTCCACTGAAGACAGAGGAGAGAGAGGGAGAGAGTCACAGATTTGTGCTATATACTTCTGGTAGTACCTCACTAACCTCTGGCCTAGGTCATTTCAAGAGTCTGTGACTTTGCCATCACTGTTCCTGKAAGCTTGTTCCTGGAAGTTGTCGGTGGTGACACAGGCTTATTCTTCTTGAGGGTGACACGTTCTTCCTTGGGCCAAGGCAATGCAGGAGAGCACTCTAGAGGTCCAGGGCCACTTCCTTTTTTATGATTTTGGCATGAAGACCAGGAATTTCTTTTTAATTATTATCATTGTTATTTCAAAAAATTAACATGATGAACCAAAATACTGGGTTGGGAAGAGTAATGTGCTTCTGGGTTGGGTATGAGGAGATTTGTTGGAGGGCAGGAGCTCTGCTGGCCCATCAGAACCCCCAGCCTGTAGTCTCAGAGCAACCACTGTGAATATACTTCTAAGCTGGCTTTCTCCKGGGGCAGTTACAACATATCTCTTACTCTCAGTTTACTTTTTCAGTTTTTTAATTTTTCTTCTGTAACTGCAATGACKAGAGTTAATGTGTTCTGATAGAGACTTCACTGAAGGCGTAGGCCCAAACATCATCTGTGGCATACGCCACAGTCAAACCCTCCATAAGGATAACTGAGAATCACTGAAGCAGAGAGAGAAAGGGGAGCCTTGACCCACCAGTGCCCACAAGTGCCCCCAAGCCTTTTATCATATCTTGAAGATTATGTCGACTACAAAAGATGTCAGCTTTCTTTGGTTACCTCCATGACTTCACTGTCTCCYTATTCTATGTACAAAAGTCAGAGCTCTAGTACTCCTTGGCCATACGAGATTGTGAGTTTTGTTTGATAGCAGCTATTTCTTCTCTCCCCTTATATTTTATATATATTTAAATTATAAAACTTTAAAGTTTGTTAGTGTTTTATATTGTCTATGTTATCATGTTGTCTGTCTGTCTGTCCTACACTTTAAAATATATTTAGCCATTTTTTTACCATATTCAGTTGTATGAAAGATATTAAGCCCAAGTAAATGTGCAAATTGACAGCAGTGGAGATGAGAGACAGCCTGRTAATACTCCCACTGTGTGCAGGCTGGCCTATTACCTCACACAGGAAAATAACTCTGAGAGAGAGATTCATGGGAGACTATTCCTTCAGTTCAGCTATTTATGGAACTACTTGTTTATTCTAAGAAATCCTTTGAGGGTACTTGTGTAAATCGAGCATCAAGTTCATCCAAAAGTGTCTAGATGGTTTCATGACAAATGATTTATTACTTTGTTTTGGTTGTACATGATCACTGCATGTTSTGGTGTCGTTAGTAAACCAGTGTTTTTCCATTTCTTTTTCTATCCCTCCTCCCTAAGATTTCTTTTGACTTAGCAGAATATACTGCTGATGTTGATGGGGTTGGCACTTTACGGCTCCTGGATGCTATTAAGACCTGTGGCCTTATCAACTCAGTGAAGTTCTACCAAGCCTCTACGAGTGAACTTTTCGGGAAAGTGCAAGAAATACCACAGAAGGAGACCACCCCTTTTTACCCAAGATCGCCTTATGGTAAGGATTGCTGGTGTGTRTGTGTGTGTCGGTGTCTGTACGGCTTTCTCCCAGCTCATGTCTCAGGGCTGAAGTCATCAGGGTGTGAGATGAGAACAACGATAGAGCTAAAGTGACTAGACATGTCGAGAGGCATACCTTTATGAATTACTATATATAAAGTGTTTGCTGCCATTGCCCGGGGGTTGGAAATTACCATCTCACTTCACAAGACTGTTCATTCAGATCAGAAGTGGAGAGCTCTTCTGAAGAGCAGGGGGAAGGGTGGCTCTCCCCTCACAAAGGACTGTAAGATAGCACTGAAGTGATAAGGTTTCATATTCGTTTTGTTGCCTAAATGAAAAACTCCCAGGAGCTCACTTCTGCCTTCATGAGCTTGCATTAAATTTGAAACACTTATTAAAGCAATGTGCAGGGAAGACTTTGGTGATAAAGTTTCAAATCAATCTGAGTGTTAAGGCACCAGCTTTTCGCTTCTATTTCTCCAAAGTCATTTTTTTTATTAGCAGAGGTCACACAGTGGCGTATTTCACACGCTCTGGCTGCGTTAATTATATTGTAAAAGGAAAAGTGCTCTGCTTGAATGTGCGTAAGGAAACAAGTGAGAGAGCACTTTAACACTTCCTGACTGGTTCTGAGACTGTGCAGAAAACGAATATCTTCCCATTCAGCTGCTGTTTATTGGGCTGGATTTTTTTTCCATGTGGAACGTGACACATTTAGGGAATTAATCAAATTTTAATGGGTGCTTATTGAGAGGTAGACACCACTGCATGTGTTAAAGAAGGGCATATATGTCTCTGTCTGAGGACTGGGTAAAAGCTGAGTGGATATCCATATCGTTTTAATTTTTTTTTTTTTTTTTTTGTAGGAGCAGCAAAACTGTATGCCTACTGGATTGTGGTAAACTTCAGAGAGGCCTACAATCTTTTTGCTGTGAACGGTATTCTCTTCAATCATGAAAGTCCCAGGAGAGGTTAGAAAATCAATGTAAAATTATTCTCAATTTTTTGTGCATCTGACAGGAAAATGAAACAAGGCATGACAAATTTCATTTTAGCTTGCCAGAATGACAAGKTTAGCTTGCCATGCTGACATGTGGCCCACTCACTCAGCCCTTGTAGTAGTCTGCAGTGTATCAGCATTTGCTTCAAACATCATATTCTGTTTCGTAGTCCTTTGGCTCTGAAGGGAAGCCTTGGGTCTGATTTTGTGTCTCAGTGTGTCCATCCTGACAATGCATCAAGGTTAAAATTTTAAAATGACATTTTAAAAGGAAGTTTTCTAAACAGTAAGGTGGGCAAATGCCCAATAGAGTCAATTTCAGACCAACTTATATTTGAGATTTTTATTTGCATATAGATATTGAATTAAGAGGCAGATGTAATAGGTTCTCTAAATTCATATAATAGATTCTCTAAATTTATTTGATTAGGAATGACTAATGAATGCAGTCTGGTGTAGTTTGGAGGTTTGTGGATTATGACCTCGACCTTCTGACAAGATGGTTTTCAACACATGGCTTTAAAATGCCTTTCTCTTTAGCCCATAAAAACAATGCAACTTAAATTGCACTTAATCATCCTTTTTCTTCCTGCAGTACTTTATGAACAATAATGTTGGTAGTAAGTTTGAGTTAAGAGTCCACAGATGATTAAAATGACAGGTTTCTCTGCCATTAAAGTACTGGGAGTTTATGAAACACTCTAGAATTGAACTTGAAAATAATACACAAAACTGAATTCTTAGCCTTTTATTGTGGTCTGTCTATAAATGAAAAATAAATTCAAATTTTACAGGGAGACAATTATGTAAATTATAGCCTTGTGCAAATAAAATAATTTGAGTCTTACATACAAATACATAATGGACCATAACTGTAACTGTCAAGGAAAGGGATGGGAAGGGAAAAGGGAAGGGAAAAGAGAAATGAAAGGGAGGGAAGCGAAAGGAAAGGGAAGGAAGGAAAAGGGAAGTGAAAGGAAAAGGAGGAAAAGGGAAGCAAAAGGGAAGGGAAGGGAAGGGAAGGGAAGGGAAGGGAAGGGAAGGGAAGGGAAGGGAAGGGAAGGGAAGG